GTAGTGCTACCTGATGGTTGGGACCGGGTGCTGCTGAACGTGAGTGCTATATGTGGCCATGCCCAGATCGCATTGATATATGCAGTTCTCTTGAAGTAGAAAATGACAGTACTTTCTTCACTGTGTGTTAAATGTTTATCGTTGCCGTTCTGAGTTTGTGATTCATGTTTTTCTTAAATGATTAATGGTTCTCAATTTGCTTGATGGTTCAAGTTGTCTTTCTTTCTCATACAGCATGATTGTTCATTTAGTAAATTTACCTTGGTGTCCCATTTAGATAGTAATATCAAACTCATTAGGAAACTGTTAACTGAGCCAATAAATTAAGTGAGAAGTCTGGTCATTTCTCTTTAAGACTGCATGGTATCAGTGTGTTATTGCAGCCCATGGAGCTGCCTCTGCTGGCCATTACATACACTTCACAGACCTGTCCATTATATATACTGCCGATGGTTGTAAAACAGCAACAACACACTCTTTAGCTGGAGTCCTTCTCCACTCTGAAAGTCAGTGGAAGAAGCTTCAGAAATTACTCTTACTGTTTATAGTCTTAATTCTGAGACTTGATAGATACAGGCCCAGATGTTTCCTGTGGTGTGTATTAATTCATCCTACTTACTCATGTTTTCTACATGTTCTCTTCCTTGTATCAGCCTTTGTTGAGTTTCTCCATGTAGCGCAGTTATGTTGCTGATTTCCAAATTAACAAATGAATCCTGTGAGATGACCTATTTAGCACTAATTTTGTGTGTAAAGCCATACTCTGTGTGCTTTGTGTATGTATGTGTGCAGCATAATTATTTCTAACCTCAACACTTTCTGAGCACAGCTGTCCTCCAATGCAACCAGCTGTTTGAAAGAACCCTTACAGAGCTTGGTGCCACTTTCTAATTTGGGGCCTGTTTTAAGAGTTGTAACCAATGGCTTCATTAATGGTTAACAAATCATTAACTAAAGCTTTTAGATCAGTTCTTTCTCTATGAGAGATTGGGTTGCCAGGCTGGTGTTTATTCTTCTTCAGCAGGACTTTGTCTTTTTACCTTTAAGTTCATCAGGTGGACTGCTCCAGTGGACAGTCCGACCTCTGACCGTCCAGAAAAGTACTGCAGAGCATCCGGATCACAGTTATTGACAACTTATTAACATTACTAATTACAAAAAAAAATTTTTTAAGTTTTATTGTGGGCTTTTTTAACTGTCAGAGGTGGGACTAAGTCATTGTTGTCTCAAGTCTTTAAATTCAAGTCCCGAGTCAAGACAGTCAAGTCCAAGTCAAGATGACAAGTCCCAAGTCCTAAACCAACAGAATGAACGGCCGATAGTTCCTCTCCTCTCTTGCATCTACATTGGATGCTTTTGGATAGGTCTAAACCAAGTGAATCTGGGGAATTAATAGTCAACTTGCTGGGAATTAATAGCGTTTGATCAGGAAATGAAGGAACATTAATTGATTTGTGGCAGACATATTAAACAGCTTATTAATCTCTCACACGAGTCTGACTCATGTCCAAGTCATGTTCCTGGAGTCCACTCCCAAATGTTATTCTAATCAATGGCTTATAACTCATAAAGCATTAGTAAGTTGTTTTTTAAACACTAATAAAAACCCTGGCACCCTGAGCTCTTACTCAGCTCTCTCTTTCTCTATTCTGCTCTGCTGCAGCCATTGTTGTGTCAGCATTTTATCCCAGTTTGTTTCTGTATGGTTTTCAATTAGCTCTAATGATCCTGATGGAGGCGCCAGGCTGTTATTGACAAGAAGAGGGACTTAAAATAAACTAGATGTGGTCAGCCGCCTCCTACACACTGACCAGTGAACAGCAAGTTTACTGCAACCAGTTTTATTGAGTGTATTGATGTGTTCTCTCCTACAGCTACTGGCCTGTTTACTGGACACAGGTTAAAGGATAAGGCTGTGTTATTGAGGTTTTGTTGTCTATATGGACCAGTGATTACTTTTTCCACATCCATTAAGCCACTTTGTAATGCAAATGCATCAATAATGTGTGTTTTATACCCAATGTACACAATATGATTGTTGGCCATTGATTGAGCATACGTCTGGGGTCCAGTTTTACACAGTCACTACTTTAATACTATGAAGAGCCTATTTGGCTTTGATATTGGATGGTGAGCTTAGGTATCACGTAGTTACACTGCATATTGCCAAAAGTCTACTTGTAACAACTGTGTTGAGTGATTTAATCAGTAGTCTCATCCAGATGTTCCAAGTTTATGTGTGGGTCAAAGACATATAACTGCCTTTCTAAAGCCAAGGCGTCTGATTAGTGCTTGTATTGGTTTTATTGGTAATGTGTAGCTACAGACAGTCCAATCTGTAGCTATGGTGTCCTCCTCTCTCTCGTCTCTTTTCCTCAGATTCAACCCTCTGAAGGCGCTGCAGCCCAAACGCCGCTTGCAGCAAATACTGGCGTCCTCGCCCGTCCCTGTGCCCAAGCCGGCGTCGGGGACGGCTGTGCCAGGGGCCACGGCGCCAGTGGCAATTCCTGTGCCAGCGCCCCCTGCGTGAGACTCACTTCAGTTACAGTCTCAGACAGCATGTTCCGTAGCTGTATCTGTAGCTCCGGCATGCACTGTAGCCACTAAAACAAGACCAACTACAGCACACAGGCAACATTTATGCTACCTGTCTCACGGATTACAGTTTTCCCTCCATTATCATATTCTCCGTTTGCTAAGCTCCGCCCCCTTACTTTGTGTTTCTACACTTGTCAAGCCTTAAATTCACATATGTTTATAATGATGACATGGCAGATTTTCCATTAAAAGTCTTTCTCCCGTATATCAGCTGAAAATTGAATCAGCTGGTTAATTAAAGCAACGGTTTCCAACCAGGGGTTTGGGATATTGAAGCCTAGTTAACTATGCAAATGATTGGAGCTAATGTTACAGCAGATAAACACACTATTTAATCTAGTTCTTACACTTCTTCTTTTGGAAAAAAAAAATTTAAATTTAAAATAGTGCCATTGTGGGACAGAAAATCAGTACCGAGGTGGTTTTGTTTGCCGGTTTCTAACATTACTGTCGGTGACAGTTAGCTTCTTTTAGCAACAAGTCCATCTGGAGCCTCCGTGTCACCTCAGTACCGCTGTTGTCCTCTCTCTGTCTCAGAGGTTGTGTCCACTGGGAGGCTGCTGAGGCCGTTCAGTTACATTCTAGCAGCAGCTATAGCAGCAGTTAACATTTAGCGAGTTGAGGCAGAGCAGCTGGAGGACATCAGACGGAAAACCAGATAATATTTCCTTCATAAAATATGATCCAGTTTCACCCAAATCACTGATAAAGTTGTGCTTTTGTTCAAGCGATAACGCTGTGTTTATGTACAGTAATAAGTGAGGTCTAGCCTCATTGAAACACTCCACTCCGGTAACTAGCCATGCTGTTGCTAGCTAGCTAATTAAAGAATCTTCATTCTGTGTCGCTAGAAGTTGTAGATTAATGACAGGTGAATATTATTTAGTTTTAAAGGAAGAGAAAATGAACGGATTTTGATTTTTTTAAAAAGCATACATTTTTAGCATACATTGTTAAATAGGGGTACTATATAACTGAAGATGCAGTCTCAAAGGGATAAAATGAAATTTTTATTTCACCTGGACTGAACCAGAGTATCTCTGTCACTATAGCCCACTGACAGTATGCTACAGCCCCATATGCACAACGTTTTAGTATGTGGAGAAATCCAAAGGTCTGCCATGCCCAGTTACAGCTGTTAAGCAATGATTGGCGGGGTTTAGTGAACGGTCAATTGCTGCAGTGCCGACCTGCCTACCTGATTTATGACAAATATCCTTCAGAAAACCCACTGTAAATAACATGAAAACAACACTGGGATCCCAACCGGAGCTCTCAGTGTTCATACTCAGCTTAGAAGTTGGCATCAACAACAGCAAACAGCACAGACGTCTGTGAGTGTTGTTGTGTCACGTCACCTCTGAGACTATTGATGTCCTGGCAGGAACAAACAAGGGAAATCCACTTGCATACACACCTGACATATGCACATTAGTGGAGTCACTAGGTAAATTTGTACACTAGAATTGGACCATTTGTAACCATTTGGACCATTTGGTCCTGGATGGTCCTGAAGTTGTGTTTAGCGGCTACATGCACGGTAGAAAAAACACCACATCATTGTGCTATGGAAGCATACTGTGATCACTAGTGATCACTGGTCACCACAGCCGCAATGAACAGCACCATGTTTTTTTTACAAACAATAGTTCAACAGCAGAGAGTTGGTGAGACATTGCCTAAATGTTGTTTTTGGTTTACTTAAAAATTAGATGGGGTTTATTTTATTAATAATTTCAGCTTCTTAAGCAAAGTCTCTGTCTCCTGAAACAATCCACAGCGTAAAGCAATATCTGTCCCACCCTCCACACACACTAACACTAACCAGCACCTGACTCCTGAGCAACACTCCTGCAGACTGTCAACTACCACCACAGTCCATCCTGTCAAACCTGAAACACTGTTGTACTGTATTCGGTCCCTCTCCAGGCTCACTGCTTCAGCTGCTTCCCTCTGCCTGTTTCTGTTCTGTCTTGGCTTTTGTCATATATTGATCTTCGAAGAACCGCTGAGCAGTCAATATCTGGCCTCCTCCCTTATTGCATCACACAGGACACGTTTCCTTAGAACAACCGTAGCTTGAAACTTGGGGAAGTGAGTTAGCTCGAAAAAATGGCTATGCTTTCACAAAGAAGTGAGAATTACACATCATTGTATTTGTGTGTCAAATATTGCCATCTCCAGTGAATGCCTGGTTTGCTTGATTGGAATTGCTTCAAAGAGGTTGTTATTGGCTCCATGTAATGGCTGCTAAAATAAAATGTAAAAGTCATGAAATGAAAAAAACTTTCTCAGTAATGTCCATTATATAGCTATATCTCGCTAGTTTGCCAGCATTAGCTAACTTTAGTCGCCATAGCCTACTGCTCATACAACGGATAATTATTGTGAAAGCTCAATAGTCCAGAAAATGTCCCATTGGACTGAAAGCCCAGATGTCCTTCAACCAGTTATTCCGAAAACAAGAACCCACTGCTCCGAAGGCCAATTTTTCCAAAAAGAGTTTATGCCCTTAATATCACAGTTATAATAATAAATATGTAAAAATGTGTGAAACTGTTGCTGTTGGGTCAGGTTTAGGCATCAAAACTACTTGGTTTGGTTTAGGTTTAGGAAAAGATAATGGTTTGGGTTTAAATATGTTTGCGTTTTATTGCTAATGAATCTTTCTATCTTTTAAAAGTTACAAAGTCTCACTTATTGGTCGGACAGTTTGCATGGTAAAAAAGATCTAGCAAGTTGAAGTTTAAGTATGAAGTCACTGAGTTGGGTGTGTTTGTGTTTCGGTTATTGTGTCCTGTGTGAAAATCCCTCATGGCTGCTCTGGTTGGTCCTGCTTGTCCCCTCCTTCCTCTGTAGAGGCCAGTGACTGGGCAACAGTCATGTCCTTTTTAAAGTAAGGTCATTATAACATTCGATATGTGTCACTCAATATCACTGATAAAACATCACAATATTGATTATCAGCAAGGAAAGTCTTGACAGAAGTTGCCCATCACAGATCACCCTTCCTTTTCCTGGCTACCACTGATATAATTGTGCTGTGATACAATTTTATTTTCATTAGCAGGATATTAATGGTTAAGGTTAAATATGTATTTGTTTTTTTCAACATTATTGTTCGAATAATATATGTGGTTTTATCTGGTCTCTTAGCGGATTTTTGCAAATGTGTACATTATCTGACATTGATTAGTTCAAAGGAATAGTTTAGAACCTAGTTGCTGCTTCTAGTCTTTATGCTAAGCTAATCTAATTTGCCCCTAGGTCTAACTTTGCATTAAGAAATGAGAGTCATATAGATCTTTTCATCTAACTCTTTGCACAAAAGTGAATAAGTATATTTACCAAAATGTTCAGTAAAATATTAAGAAGTTATGAGTTTGAATCTGCCCTCACAGTGCAGGGCAAGTTTGTCTGTGTTATGGGCTGAGGAAGGAGCAGAGTGTAACTTCATTGGTGTTTTCAGCAGTGGAATAAGAAAGATGTCTTCTCTGGTGGTGTGTGGAGTGAAAGACTAGCAGGAATGTCAGATAGCAAGCAAATATAACTTCCTGATAAGAGTCATGATTTACTGACATGTTGTCATGTTCTGACAATCTTTAGTGTTGTATCAGAGGTTTCAGAGGTTGAATTTATGTTTGATTATGTCTTTGATGTGTACCTAAAGCTTGTCTGGATGGAATATGCTCTAGATGATAATACTCTTAAATACTAATGCCACTGCTTCTCTAAACATTCATTCATCAGTCTCAAAACATTTTACCTCTTGTGAATTGTATTTCAGGATGCAGATCATTAGCTTCTGTGCCAGTAAAGGCCTCATAGCTGCAACTTACTTCACATAGATGTTTCATATAGGAAGCCAAAGACAGCAGCCTATCCACTCCTTTTGTAAAGCTTTTAGTGAGCCACCTCTCTTTGGTCCCGTCAGTGTTTGAGTGCTTGTTGATATTTAGCATCCTTCTGCCTGCAGCTCAGGCTCTGAATTAACTAGGTTACTCCCAAGACATGCTATAAGCCAGACAGCTAGCTTTGTCTCACCTCAATAGTACAATGTGCATACGCTTATAGTATGCACATTGTATTGTTCAGGTGGGGTCCTCTGCTGTCCTCTGTAATTTAACACCCTGTTGTCTCTGCCTGGTCAGGTTTGACTATTGCAGGTTCATAGAGCTAGACTACGTTCCCATGGAGACAGGCTATATGGTCTCAATGCGCCCGACTAAAGGCTATGCATCGACCAAGTCGCCAACTAAAGGATGCGCTTCCACCAAGTCTCCAGATCGCCACAGCCGCTCAACAAACTCTCCCTCCACCCCTCGTTGTCGGTCTGTTCTGAGTCCCTCTCCTCTCCTCCTGATCAGTGTTGACTCTCTGATGCATGGAAATGATGAGACCCTTTGCACTGTTGTGAATGTTTCATGATGTTATATTGTGGAAAACACCTGAGAGAATTGTTTCCATAGCATCATGTCTGGCCTGTTACTCCCTTCTTCTTTCCTCTTTGTTTGTTCTCTTTTCTTTTGTTCATACTCTTTAGCAAAAGCAATCCTTCCTTTATTTCTTTTGAGGAATGCTTGTTGCAATTATATCATTAGGTGTCTAATTTGTTTTGATTCACATCAATCACATTCTCTTTTTTAAAAACTGTAACATCACTGTTAGTGCCCAAAGGAGTGTATGTCCTTGTTTCTAAAACAGAACTGTTGTCTGTAAGCAGGCCTGTATTTGTAATGTGACTGTGTATATTTGTGCATATCTGTGTTGTATTGGCATGTTAGTGGACCTGGATTGACGTTTGCTCCATTTGTCTATTTTGATTTGTGGTGTCATTGTGGTTTAGCTCAACAGCTCACAGAATTCACTGTCACCTCTGGAGTGTGGTTTCATGTTGTTACCAGGAACAGATTAACATGTATCCTCTTACTTTGGACCAGGCGGACACCAGCCGCGCCCAGTAACAGAGATCCCTATGGCAACGCCTCCATCAGCAGTGGCAGCAACTCAGGCTCTTGTAAAGGCAGCGACTGCAGCCCCACCAAAGGGTAAGGCATCAGAATGTAGGTATTGCCTGTTCTCTAACTCAGTGCCCTTGTCCGACACACTCCCTAGAATGATTGAATGATCCATTTATAGAATAGAAACTGAAACTTTGAGCGACTTACTCACCTTCCTCGCCAGTGAAAATAAAACTTGATCTAAATCAATGAAAAGGAGATGTGGGCGGAAAATCAGAGGCCTGGAAACTAGCTTTTTTGTGTTTCTTTTTCAACACAAGCAAGTGCATTTACCACACATTTTCAGTCTTTTAAAGCTGCTGTAGTCAATATTTTTTCTAATAATGGCAGATCAAGCTACTGTGTGTTATGTAAAAGTTGTTGCTGGAGAAATCAACTCGTCCAACTCTGCAGTTCCCCTCAGCTCTCAGTTTTAGTGTTTTTTTAAAGTGGGTTAAGTGATACTAGAGAAATTCAATATTGTGAAAAATACCATGATATAGAGTGAACAACAACACAGCATGTAATGTTACTAAAGTTGGCTATGTTGTGGGTTAGCAAAGTATCGCTACTGCGCAGCTAACATGGAGCGAGGAAGAGATGGTTTCCCAAAGTCAGCACACCAGCTTCAGACAGCGAGACTCACAACAACACTACATCACAACAACAGGATATGTTGGCTAACTAGACAGTAAGATGAATATCTTTGGGCAAGTCATTTAACGTTACCTGGCACAAAAAGCCTGGCTGATATGACAAGTTAGTGTTGTGTGGCTCTGTCCGGTTTTTTAGGGGAACACCAACACAGCTTCAAATGAATGCAAATGTTGCTCTGTGTTTGATGGATATGTTAGTAAGCCACTGTGCCAATATGTTGGCCATATCAATTTTCAATTCAATTCAGTTGTCTATTTTGTATAGCGCCAATTTCATTATACGCAAAAAGTCGTATCTTCAGGACACTTTTTCAGAATAGAGCAGGGTCTAGACCGAACTCCAATGAGTACTATCAACCCCATATCAACTGTATGTGGTGTTAATAAGCCATTGAGAAAAGACAGAAAGAAGAGAAGAGAAGATAAAGATATTTTCTGCCCCCAAGCGACCAAACGAAATTAATTAATTCAGGTTTAAAAGGATGAAACTGGCAAATCATTCTATTTAAATCAGGAACTATCTGATAGAGGAAAAAATTAACAAGGTTACAAACCTGACCATGTGTTCAATGTCAGCTTTCTGTACTTTTTGATACTACGGTACGGATACATTTTGGTCATTAAAAGAAAAGAACTGAGATTTAATCCCTAATTCTTCACTGGAGGGAAATAAGTTCTAAATAAAAACACCTTTCATATGCTTGTGTCCTAGACGTCATCAAAAGTACACGTCATGTACAGACAACCATGGTATCCGGCCCCCTCCACCAGAGCAGTATCTCACACCCCTGCAACAGAAAGAGGTCTGTATCCGACACCTGCGGGCCAGGCTAAAGGAAACAATCAACACTCTGCAAGACAGGTGAGATACTGTGCTAGAAAGTGATATTATCATCATTGGTCAAAAAGTCAGTTCTTATATTGCCTGACTTGTTCTTTTCACGTTCTAACCATACCCTTTCCCTGAGCCTGATATCTCTATCCTTCTACTTCTCTTTTTCTCTCAATTTCTCTTTTGTTCTTTCTTTCTCCCTTTCCTCCTCTCTATTTTGACCCTCTTAGGGACACAGAGATAGATGAGCTGAGAGGCCAGCTCTACAGGATGCAGGAGGACTGGGTTGAAGAGGAATGTCACCGCGTAGAGGCTCAGTTGGCCCTGAAGGAGGCACGTCAGGAGATCCAGCAGCTCAAACAGGCTGTGGACACTGTTCGGGCCAGGCTCAGTGATGCTGGGGGGCTTAGCGGGGACATAGGGGTCCAGAAGTATTTCCAGGACATCAACACTCAGAATCACAAGCTTGAGAACCTTTTGCTCAACATGGAGATAGCCCAGGCTGGATTAGCCAAGGAGGGGGAAGCCATACCAGGCTGCCGGAGCCGTGTTGGGGGTTCGGCACCAGCATCAGTTTCAGGGGAAAGTCCGGGGGGAATACCCAAACCAGCAGTAGGAGGGAGGGGTTCTTGCTCCTGTGATGGTTCCCCAGCCCGTTCTCTGACCCGGAGCTCCACCTACACTAAACTGAATGATCAGGCGCTGGTGGACCGGAATGGTAATGGTGCAGACTTTCCTTGTCTGTCTGGTGATGGCACCCAGGATAGCGGCTTTGTGTGCTGTGGGGAGAGCAGTGTACCTAGCCGGGCCGACCTGCTGCTGGAGGCCGCCTTCCTCTCTGAGGAAACAGCATCTTTACTCAACTCCTACACACAGACCTTTTCCCACTCTCTGCCCCACTCTCTGCCCCACTCTCTGCC